TTTTTTTTTTTTTTTTTTTTTTTAATAAGTTTGAGGGTTTCTTTAGAAAAAAACAAAATTCCTGAAACCTTTTCACTTAAAAATATATTCTCTAGACTGGCTAGTTCATCAATTCTTTCCAGAATAATCACTTCGGCTAATTTAATTTTTTTTAAGTATTAATTTAACTTTGAATTGAGCTAGATATATAGTTGGACATGGAAAACAGAAGAAATATTAGATATCACAAATAGTGATAAAATTGATGAAAATATATGGATAGCTTTTTATCTAAATCATAGCTGCTAGACTTGGATTCTAACTAGCTAATTCCCTTTTAATTGATTATACTTTTAATATTTCTCATCTCACCATTCGACCTTGATCTTTAACTCAGCATGGCCAAGACGATTGAGAGGTATGAAAGTTACAGTTATGGAGCACAAGAAGGGAAACAACCTGGAAAGGATTCACAGGTATATATACGTACATGTCAACGTATTCGAATGGTCCATATATATATATATATATAAATACATGTGTGTGTGTGTATACATACATACATACATATAGCTCATTTATGCATTGCACGATCAACTACTGGAAAAGAACAAAAATGTTGCTCATGAGTATTAGTTAATTAACCATACTCATTTAGGTTGATCTATATTGAATTATAGTGACTTGTATATATACTAATTAATTAGACTGATATAATTTCCACCATAACGAAAATCACAAGCAGAGCAGCTACCAAGAATATTTGAGGCTGAAAGCAAAAGTTGAGGTCCTACGACGTACGCAGAGGTAAATCTTTTGTTTGTTTGATTGATTTGCAATATCGGGATATTTTTCGATCGGAAGGGCAAATCATTTGTTTGTTTTGGATTGATTTGCAACACTGCTTAAGAATGGAAAATTTCATGTAGACTTGCTCAATTGTTTGCATGTTGCAATATGTACTAAACTGCGAATTTCACTTTGCCTAATATTTGCGTTCTTTTGAGCATTAATTTTGTTTTGTTTTTTTTTTCCTTTAGGCATCTTCTTGGGGAGGATTTGGAGCAATTGGGACTAAAAGAGCTCGGACAACTTGAGACCAAATTGGACATGTCATTGAAGCAAATTAGGTCGACAAAGGTATTCCAAATTTGTTGCATGAGCCTGAAAATATGTTTATTTTTAATGAGATTATCTTGGCATGTGTATAGCGTGCAATGAATCATGGCTAGAAATTTTCCCAAGTATGGAAAATAAATTTTCTCTAAAATGAGCAAATGCGCCAGCGATGGATTATAAGAAAGATAAGAACTTTAAAATTACTATTACCGGCACGGAGTGGCAGAACTACTCTATTGAGTTAAACTTCTCTTACTAGGACCTAGACAATCACATGAACATGATATAACCAAAAGTGCTTTATAGGATTATTATCACCGATGCCTTCTAAACTTTGAAGTCATTCTCAGTTTGTCTTATGAACTTTAAAAACTCACTTTACCCTTAAATTTTAAATTGTTCTCACTTAACCCATTTTGTTGAAATTGCAGTCACATGCTCTTTCTACTTAAATTTCTTTAAAAAAGAAATTGATAAAAATCACATAACCACACTTAACCCTATTTTTTGATATGATTTTAACATAAATTCTTACAAAAAGGTTTAAATGAGCCTAATCTAAAATTTAGGGGGCAAGTAAGAGTTTTTAAAGTTTAGGAGACTAACTGAGAATGAGCCTAATAAAGTTCAAGAGGCACCGGTGATAATAATTCTAATTTATATTCATCTCCATATTGGGTAGAGAATTTTATTTCCTCTTGTACATAGGTCTATATATATTATTTGGATAATATGGATGAATGTTCAGATTAGAGTTCTAGTCATTTTATTGGCACTTTGCCATTATATAACAAATCAGGCGCACTGTGACGTAGAGAGTCTAAATATAGGGGATAGGTTTTACCGGCCGAACCGGACGGAGGAAGGAATCGAGATTCCAAATCCACCTAAAAACAACCCAAAAGAGGGAACAAGCAAAGAGAGAAAGCAATCTGAAAATTCTATTAGAATTACCAATCCAAAGTCTGGGAGCTTCCCCTAACGAACAAAGTCTAAAAGCCCCCAAATTACAATCAAACGGCAATAGAAAAGCAATAGACAACAAGTAAATAACATAAAGTAAGAAGCGACAACAAATTAAAAACAACAATCCAAACGACAGGTCGTATAGCTCCTACATCACACTGCCCTCTAAAATTTCTAAAAAATGTTTCCAATGTTAATCCTCTTTTTACTATTGGTTTTCATTAGAGGGTATTCTATTTCAACAAATTTTTATGGAACTTCAATGCATGCCTCATTGTCAAAATGGTCGTATAAAGCACCTACCAGTTTGTAATATAAGAGATGTATTAAGGGTTTGTTGCCATAACAATCTCTCTCTCTCTCTCTGAAAAATGCCAAACACACTGTGATCAGTTCAAAAGTTTTATGATGTAGTGAAAACGTAACAAAAAGAGAAAATAAGATTAAATCTTTTAAAATTTGTTGATTAAATTAGAATACCAGAAAATAAGGCGTCTACAAATCCTCTTGATTCACTTACAATGTCATGATAAAAATAAAAATAAACTAAAAATTCAATGATTCTAACAAGTACTGAATGTTCATGTACAAAATAATTCAGAGAATATATTTTCAAGAGAGATTGATGGAAAAAAAAATGAAAAATAATTCTAAAGCACTCCTGTATACAGGAGGTGCTAAAGTTACATAAATTTTTAAAAAATAAAAATAGAAATTAGCTAAAATTGACTAATCTAAATTCTAATCCTAATAGATAATTCAAATCCTAATCAACATAAATTCAAATTTCAATAATATTAAGATATTTCTACTGATAATAAGTTATAACTCGCTTGACTTTTTTGAAACAAATGACAATAACTTTCACTAGGATTATCTTAATCCCGAAACATTTCCAGTTATTCTCCTGCACCATCACTTAATTAAGTGATATTTTCTCTCTCGTATTTTAAATTTTAATGCATAATAAGTAAATTGCTCTATATATTTTTGCAATACTACGTTTCGGCTGTAGGAATAATCTGTTAAAAAAAAAAAGAAAAAGAAAAGAAAAACCTGGTTGCAGTGTGACATTCTAGCTTCTTTCTCTCATCGTTATATTGAACTGGTTTATGAGTTTATTATGCAAGTTTTAAGGGTAGCTATCTTTTCAACCGCTTATAGATGCAAAAGTTCAAAATAGCAAAAAACAATTGAACCAATTTTTCGCAACTTGGTTATAAGCCCTTGTCATTTTGACAGATCCTTTCTCAACTAAAATGATTTTACTAGAAAAGAAAAAAGCCCTTCTCTTACGGAAATTTCTGCAGTTGAAAGCTACTGAATTATCAAATGAATTAGAAGTTCATTATGGAACTGTGGTTCAGTCTTTGACTCAATTTTCACTCCCTATATATGTGTGTGTACATTGTTAATTTACCAATCCATCCTAAAAGCTTAAGCTATTAGGAAGTGGGTCAATAATAATTTTATACTTTGATATTCCCCCTCACGTGTGGGCTAGACAATGAGTAATTGTGTAGGTAAATTAATTAGAAAGCCCAACACATGAATATTTAAGCCCGAAATATATTAAAGACTCAACACATGATAACAATTTAAACGGAATAAAGAGTGCAATTACTATAGTTTGAACTCAGGACGGTGGGTCAACAATAATTTTATACTTTGACATTCCCCCTCACGTGTGGGCTAGACAATGAGTAATTGTGTATGTAAATTAATTAGAAAGCCCAACACATGAATATTTAAGCCCGAGATATATTAAAGACTCAACACATGATGACAATTTAAACGGAATAAAGAGTGCAATTACTATAGTTTGAACTCAGGACCTCCCGCTCTGATACTATGTTAGTTTACCAATTCATCCCAAAAACTTAAGTTGTTAGAAGGTGGGCTAACAATAGTTTTTATACTTTAACATACATAAAATGCATGAATTGATATAACTAATAGCAAAAAGTAGTTTATTTTATTGACAACGATTGTTCAATTAACTGTTTGTAAATCTTTATTAGAAAGAGAATAAGGTCATAGATTGTGATTGGTGTTCATTTGACATTGCAAAAGTCGACTCCGTAGTTCTCTATATTATAAGATTAGGTTTTGGTCATTATCACTGAGTAGGAGAAGTTTGAAAATTACTTTCTGCTGTCTGATTTTTGCTTCTTTCTACTTTTAGAAGGCCAAAACTTTTTATTGTACACACTACAGTTTATTTCACAACCTAGAATTATTAGGCTAATGTGTATATATGTCTATATGTTTGTTGCGTTCCTTTTAATCGATTTAGTTGCTAAGTCTTGTCTGCTTTTATTAGGACAAAACGTTTTGTACATAACTCATGAACTCAAGTACTGGAGATATATAGTAATAAGCGTGACATATATGTGGTTTGTGTGTGTGTGTCTATATATATATATATATATCTAGTGAGAAAATCTTCATCAATATCGATCAATTTTGTGAATGCATGTTTCCATAACTTTTATCCTCTTTTGTAGTTTTTTCTTTAAGGGTTGATCTAGAAATGGAAATGGAATTAATGCCTCATGTGTCAAGAATATCCAAGATGCATATTGAAAATTGGAGATCAATATCATATGATTTTTCCACCTGTTTTGTGTTAATTTATCTCTTCAAATTAATGTCATAAAACCTATCTATGACTTTTTGTTGACATCTTCTCGGAAGTATTATTTTTAATATAATCCGCAATTCGTGATTGACGTGTCAGACCAAATCTATGCTGGAGGACCTCTCTAATCTTCGTAAGAAGGTACTATATATATTATTTTTTGGAATTTACAAACTAAGTTTTTGAATATACTACTGAACATTAATTATTGTCCCAAAGGAAAAAAAAAAAAAAAAAGTGCTCCACATTGATATTATGGTTTAATTTGCAGGAAGAATCACTGCTGGAAGCAAACAATGAACTGCAAAGGAAGGTATCAAAACCGCTCGTTATATATATAAATATATATATATATATATATATCATGTATATTATTATTATAAAATAGACATATATTGTGTATATATATTGACCTAAAATAAGATGTGACAAAACTTGAAAGTTAGGTAAATCAAATGTGGGCCCTATGTAACGTTCATTTATGGCAACGTATCTTTTTATATATATATGGCTGTACTTATAACTGTTTTAGTTATTTGTCGTCTTTGTTGCAGTCAAAGTAGTGTATTCTCATATTTCCATTATTGTTCATCAGGGAAAGACAAAAGTCTCTGTGTGACTTCCATTTGATTTTTTATATAGTAGATAAATGTTAAACTAACTTGACATGTGAAAACCGGAAAAAACAAATCTAGCAGAAGTAATTTCCCTATGTGTGTGTGTGTGTGTGTGTGTGTATATATATATATATATACATGCATGTGTATCATATATATGTATGTAAATGTAAGCTTTCGTGGATATGTATAAATTTTTCATGTTCGGAAGCAGTTGGAAGCAATGGGTGCAAATGAAGCCAGGGAGCACAATAATATTGCATACACCCACCACCAATCTCAGCCTATGGCGTTCAGCTTTGAGCCTTTACCATGCAATAATAATGCACTGCAGATAGGGTAAATTGTCTTCTCCCAAGTTAATACTTGAGTTTATCTATATTTTTCTTGGTATATATAACATTTTGATTTTCAATTTTTTTTTTAATTTGAAAAACGGTGTACTGGAAATTATCTTAATTAATCAACATTTTGAGTTCACATCTACCCTATATTTATTGCTCTTTAATTAAATGATCAAAATAATAAATGCCACCAAAGGAGATCTAATTTAATTTTATTGTTTTTAAAGAAACATTAATGTGTATTTGGTGTCGTGTCCTTGGACGTAAAATTGGACTATTTAATATTTCAAAAAAAAAAAAAATTGGAATGTTTAAGAGAAGATATTAATAATTGTAATTATTGCCTAACCAGATCTATTCTTTCTAATTAATTTTCTCCTAATTTCTTTATCATCGTTTTGCAGGAACTATAGTCTTAATTCTTCAGTTAGAGAAGAGGTTAATGTGGAAGGTGGCACAGTGCAAAATTTAATGGCTTCTTCTCTGGATGGTTGCTTTGATCTTTAAAAACGCACGTCATTGTGATCAATATCTCTTATGTATAATTAGTATTTTGTCGCCTGAAAAATTTGAAGAGAATAAAACTCTTCTTAATTATAATTACTAGTGTGATATTTGCTAGTGGCTGAATTAAAACATTTGATTTATATTCCAGCTTGAAACTTTGGTAATAGTGCGAGTAATAAAGCCAGTACGTGCTAGACTAGTACGTACGTATCTTATGTACCGTTTCTACTTAGATTATTTTTTTTAATTTACAAATATTATATTATTATTCTATATAAATTAAGTATAACCTAACAATACATCCATACACTAGGGTTATATAACCTAATAATAAATCCGTACATTACTCTACCTTAAACTGTAGAGTTCAAATTTCTCAATCCTTCAATTTTCTCAAAAAAAAGTTCTGAAACTAATTGGTTGTTTAGAGTATTAATTTTTAATTAGTAGATAATTTTAGAATACGCAATTGATTACTAAATTGTTTGGCTTAAAAAAATTATTTATTGAACTCAAAACTCAATAAATTAAAAACAACTTAACACCCACTAAACATCAAATGCCTTATAGATGTACATTATAACTTCTGATATTTTGACGATCAACTCGAGAGACTGCGTTAACTGGAGAAGCGCGATGATATGGAATTCCGTGAGGACCCCACAGATAAATTAAAAATAAGATTTCTTAGAAGCCACGAAGTCCAAGCAAGCTGAAACTAAGGCCTCGTTCACTTCGCGGATTCAAGTTTTCAATTTGAGCTGAGATGTGACATTTTCTGAGAACTTTTCACTGTAACAGAAAAAGTTAGATGTGACATTTTCTGAGAGCTTTTTACTGTAGAAACCTAAAATTGAAAACTCGAATCGGTGAAATGAACGAGGGCCTAATATTAAAGACGAGACTCGGATCAATCTTGAAGAGGAAGCTACCAAAAATCAAATAAGAAAACAAGAGAAAGGAAAGTAAGACCAAAAAGGGGAACTTCTGAATTGCCAGTTAACAGCGTGTTAGCTCAAGGATAAGAGAAACTCTGAAGAACTGGATCACACCTATAAGTACAAGGAAGCTACCACGAATAAGGCATTCCACATTGATTATTCAGCACATTCACTCCCTCTCTCTATATTCTGTCCCTAAATCTCCTCCTCCTCTCTCTCGTTCTTATTCTTCATTGTAACTGTACTTTATAAAACATATAGTGAAACTCTGAGATCTTACAATAGATGTAGTCTTCACATTAAAAGTGAACTACTATAGTTGACATAACATTCACATTGAAAGTGAACGATTATAAATCGACATGCAACTGCGATTGATATCCAAAAAGAGTTATGGGCTCTCTAAACAAATATAATTGTATAATTTGACGTCTCCAGACATAAAATTTACAATATAAAAATATAAAAGAATAACAACTCAAAATACCAGGCACAATATTTTAACAACTTCAATTAAATGCAAGGTATAAAAATGTAAATACCCTAAAAAAAAACCGTAACTTAAAAGGTGTTCAATGTGTTTACAAATGCGACTATACCTCCACGTTATATTTTTCATAAAAAAAAATGAATAATCATAATTAATTTATGAGATTCTGAAATGCTTTTATTCCCCTAATAGGTCAAATGAGATTAATATAGATAATATATTTTACTGCAGGCACAGGTTCCAACAAAAGAATATTATCGTACAAAACTTTTGATGTTTGAACGAAAGAAAATTTTTTGTCCTTTTCTTTTAATTTTTTGTTTTCTTGTTTTCAAAATGCTTTTGGCACTTCAGTCCAAATTTGAAGCAAAAATTGAGGCACCCTTTCTTTAGAAATAAAGAAGGGCTGGAGCTTGGTTTCCTCCTTTAGCTCCTCAGCTACACTGGATACGGGACAAGTGGCATAAGTGTAACTTTTAGCTTGGATCACAAAAATATAATTTAGCAATCAACAATTTTCTATAATTCATACTTATAATGTTAAGGTGTAAATTTTTGAACTTCTTACTTTTGTGATAGGTACTGCAGCTAGTTTATGCTATTAGTAGGTGTTAATTGTTGTTTCTAGTTATTAAATTAGTTTAACTTATAACTGTCTGGTATGTGAATAGAAGTAATTTTATTTTGCGCACTATAGATTTTTAATGTAGACACACAGATTAGAAAATTTACTTTTCAATATATTAATAGGGTAAAATAGCAGTCCCTGTTGTAAGATCGTTTCCCCCTCTTAAAAATGAAATTACCATTTTATTCTTAAATCCTTTTATCTATACATATATATTTTACCTTTAAGAGAAATTCAAGATTATGTCTCCAAAAACCTTTTTATGTATAATGTACGTATAATTTATAAGACAGTAGTACTAGTCAAGATCATAAGAGGGATAAATTAAGAGCCCGTTTGGTTGGAGGATTCGTTCTCTGATTCGAATTATGGTTCATGGTTCGCTACAGTATTTTCTCTCACAAAAAATACACGTAAATTAAAAATGATTCTAATCTCATAGTTTTAATCCATGAAGCAAACGAGCTCTAAACTCTCCCGAAAGTTGCAACAGTACCCCATGTTACCATGCTTGCAATGTGGACCCCATTTATTTGATCATATTGTTGGTAGCAACTAGGAAAAGCTTGATAGACGGCCTCAACGTTAAATGGCTCAGTGTCTTCTACACGGCAATTCTATGCATTCTCAACCAATAAACGTTAAGCATTATACACACCAAAATAACAGGTCCCTCTCAGCAAATAGACCCATCCTTTAACTGGGACATGCAAATGTATTACATGTTCTGACCACACATCCACATGCAGTTGTGGGCCCATGCATGTCAAATTGATCATAATGTTAGTCCTGATCCCGTACATTTTGTTTGAGTAAATTATTATACATATGTATCCATGTCTTCCTAATAAAGCTCCGAGCTAGCTGCTTTTGTAGACTTTGTTGTTTTCTTGATAAGATTTGTGGGCATCACGAAATGTACTATTAAATTATAAAAGTTCAGAGATATTTGGTCACTTCTTTTACTCCAGTTTTCAGTAGTACATCCAATATATAAAAGGTTATATATATATTTATGTATATATATGTCATCCAATTAGGGTTGATAATATCCCTACTTATTGTCACTTCTTTATTAAATACAGCAAATCTTTCTTATGTTCATTTTGTGATCAAAACTTTATATTCATGATTCATGATTAGACATTGAAAAGAACGATTATTAGATTTTGTCTTCATAATGATGTAGATGACGATGATCAAATGGTAATGATGACGTGAAAGTGCTTAATCATATCATGCTTACTGTAAGTTAATTATTAATATTTATTATTTCACCGCTTGTTGTGATCCCCACTAATCAGTCAATGGAGTTGTACCAGCTGAATTAAATGGTAAGCAGTACAGATCAAGTAAATACACAAAATAAGCAAAAAAACTTATCGGCATGGCGGGGCAAATTTGAGAAAAGTGAAGATATTTGACCTTGATCACACGTGTACTTGTAGTTTGGCCTGCCTACAATTACAATTTACCTCAATTGCTAAAAAGCTAGCAAAATTATCATAAAAGGTGGGAGTGAAAAATGGGAAAGAGACATTTGTGTTGTGTCGTGTAATTTCTAAACGCAGAAACTAGAGATCAAGAGCATTATTAAATGCATATCCGCGTAGGAAAAAGACGAAAGGAGGGAGAGAGAGAGAGAGAGAGAGAGAGAGAGAGAGGGAGAGAGAGAGAGAGAGAGAGAGATGGGGGATATATTCTTTGAATTAGGCAATGGGGTATATTAAAGGGGTCACATGGGGCGTGGGTTTGGGGATGTGGTCACCCCTTGATAAATGTCTCTTCTTTCTTTCTATTTGTACATAATTTCCACTTTTTACCCACTACATAAAGGGGATGTTTAATCTGGCCGTCCTTCCTTCCAAAACCACCAACTGGTAACAGATAGTAACAGTTGGGTGTCAACGTAATTGAAATATTTTAAGCCTCATTTGTTTCGCTCGTTCGAGTTGAGAATTTAAATTAAAAAGTAAATTCACGTGAAAGAAAACACTAAAGTAAAAATGTTGAATTTGAATTTCTGTAAGAGAAAATACAGTAACAAAAACTTAAGCTGTAATTCGAACTAGTGAAATGAATGAAGCTAGTTTCTCTTTTTCTTGTTTGACCATAAGAGTTTTAAAAGGTACTAAGCTAACTAAAATGCTTTTACCTCACTTAATTAGTAGGGTATTTCACACATTTACCCCCTAAACTTGTACGGTTTTAGCAACTTACTTCTTTAACTTTTATTTTTAGTAAGTTGTCCCCTCAACTTGTAAAATTTTTGCAATGTGTCCCATTTTGACGATGATTGTGTTAAATTAGTATAAAAAACCAAGTTCAATGAAAAATTCTAACATTCAAATCCAAATGTAAAACAAGTTTTTCAATTCGTCAACTTTTAATTATCCCTTAAATCTAATAAAACATTTGAGCAAATTTAATAAATTGGGACACATTGCAACAACTTTACAAGTTAGGGGGTTGATTGTCAAAATTAAAAGTTTAAGGGGGTAATTTACTAAACCACAATAAGTGTGGGGGAAATTGTGTTAAAAACCCTAATTAATGCTAGCTAGTGGTTCTCTCTTATTATTTTATATAAAAAAACTTTATATTAGGGTTGTGCACGGTTTATTCCTATCCCAAACTATTGAGTTTTTTAGAGCTGACCTTTCTGACAATAGAACCGGACCAGACTAGACCGCTTCAGAACGGTATGGCTTGGTTTAAGCGGGAGAACAGTTTCTTGTAAGGTTTGTTTTGTTTTTAATTACTATATTTTGTATTCTTAAAGTCTAAATAAAAATTAAATACAACAGAAGGACAAACTCATATAATATATGTCATATATTAAAATTAACATTCTGTTATAAAGATTAAAAAATTAAGCGTAAAAATAACAAATAAAGTTTACATATATATCATAGAATTGTTCAAATTAAACTAGACTGCTTTTGAAATAGTCTGGTCTGGTTTTAGACCACACTAATAGTTTTGACGTGAACCAAATCGACAATTTAAACGGTCCAATTAGTGTAGTTTGTCAGTTTCAAGCAAACTGATGAGTTTCTAATAGTGCCAATCTAATTGGGATGTATACTCAGTGTCCTATGATGTCAATGTCAGCTGATCATGCACAATTTTTGTTTTGACGGTTAACTTTTTTCATATTCTTACTTTCCTTTGTTTTTGTTGGGGTTTTACTATTTTCTTGTTCATGATCATGCATATGGTTGCTCTATATATATATATATATATATATATATATATATATGGAAAACTCTGTGCTAAATGTCATGTCATCTTAAAAATTTTAAAGAGAAATATTGGCATGGCATTGAATATATAGTTTTTGTTAAATATGATAAAATTCAACGATGTATAAATTTAGGTGATGGCATGGTATTTATATAGTGGCCTGCTGGACAGTGCATTGAGAAACTTTAGTAATATCTATATATGGCTTCTTCTTCGCTACAGTTCCCACTTTTAGTACTACATACTCAATAGTTTTGAGAACCGGTTTTAATTGGTTAATATATACACGTTCTAGTTCTCTGCATGACAAGTTGTGGAATTCTTTCCATCTCCCATATATGCGTAGTTATAGAACCAAACGAACGAAGAAGAAACATCATTTGTAATATATGATTAATCCTTGGAAGGAAATATAAAAAAATAAATCTTAATTGATGAAATATTGGTTGTCAAGGAATTAGGTAACATATCGATATGCATTTGAACCCAATATTAATGAAAAATTAAAAGTTCAAGTCGTCCCATCATAGGATTTGAAGCAAAAATCGTTTCAATATGCACATCATCCAGAACCGTAAAGTACAAAGGTATTCTCCATAAAACAAAGAATAAGTGGGTACTAATCAAAAGAGAAAAAAAAAAAAAAAAAGAATAAGATGCTACCCTGTGTGTTATTTGATAACTTTATTTTTCCACAAATTAGAAAAAAAATCGAATGGAATTTGAATCCGTCTCCTATTACTCCTTCTACCGCCAATTACACACAAGATTGAAGCAATCCCTTATAATAACCACTTCTATGTACTCTCTTTTCAAATGTACATCCCTGAACATATCTCAAATGAAAGTAACCAAACATATACCTGGCCCTTCTACCGCCAATTACACACAAGATTGAAGCAATCCCTTATAATAACCACTTCTATGTACTCTCTTTTCAATTGTACATCCCTGAACATATCTCAAATGAAAGTAACCAAACATATACCTGGGGTTATACGGCAATTAACTCAAGAAAACAAAGAAAGGAAAAAAAAAAAAAAGAGAAAGAAAGAATCTGCCTATAGATGCCTACATGAGCGCCGTCAACAGAAGCAATGAATGCCTTTTGGGTTGGTCCGTACAATGACCCCTGAAACCACTCTTTCTTCTTTTATTTTATTTTATTTTATTTTTTTGGGTTTTCTCATGAGACCAAAACTCGTGGTTTCCAACACATGCAATAACGACTACACAGTAAGTCCAGCCAATGAGATCTCGACAGCATATTCTTAAAAAACCACCCCGGTATTCCCACCAAAACCACTTATAGTTTCTGTCTTTCCAAGTTTGTATTTTGCAATCCCCACCCAAAACCGCTTTTGCCATTAAAATCCCTCATTAGTCCATTTCCCTATTATAACCCTTCCCTTCCTGATCTGATCTTTCTCCTTTATATATTGCATTGGGCTACAGCACATGTTTTCTCTTCACATTTGGTAACTAGGGAAACAGCCATTCCATATTAGTTCTCTCTCTCTCTCTCTCTCTTTCTTTAATATTTGGGTTTTCAAGTTTCCAGGTTTTTCTTTTTTTTCCTTTTCTTTTTTGGGGTGTTGGGTTTGGAAAACTTGCCTTGTTTGGACTTTCTAGTTAAGAGCAAATTAAGGGAAAAAAATCAAAATCAAAAACAAAAACACAAAAAAAAAAAAAAATAACTGAAAAAAATTAAAAGAAAATCATGGGAAGGGGTAGGGTTCAGCTGAAGCGCATAGAGAACAAGATCAATCGGCAGGTAACTTTTTCCAAAAGGAGAAATGGGTTGCTCAAGAAAGCCCATGAGATCTCTGTCTTGTGTGACGCTGAAGTTGCTGTTATTGTCTTCTCCCACAAAGGAAAGCTCTTTGAGTACTCCACCGATTCTTGGTAACTTTAACCCCCTATATATATATATAATCCATATTTACATATGAATATATATACACATATTTCTTTTGTTTTTTATGTATATACATATTTCAGTGCTCTTCTTTTTTTTTTTTCTTTTTTGTTCTTGCTAAATATACTTTTCTTTCTCCTTCTTCTTCTTCTGCCATTTTTCATGGTTTCATTTTTCTTCACCTTTTCCTTCTCTGATATTTGTTTTTTTTTCCTTCTCTGGTTCTTCTACTGTTTTTGTTTAAGAAGAGCAAATAGATAAGACAAAACAAAAGAAGGGTTGTTTGACTGATGTTGTATGATGAGCAAATCCTAGTAGACCTAAATCTCTGTAACAGTTGGTAATTGTAGGAGAGAGATCATATGTCGATGTTTCATGAGTAGGGTTATGAGATTTAGAGTGGTACTTTTCGTCAAATGACAACATGTATAAAAGTGTATGTTCCTCAGCTGTACTTTTTAATGGCTTTTTTTTTTTTTTCGTTCTTCAAAAATATGCGATCTACTGTTTTTAATGGGTTTTTAGTGGCCTTTTCTCTGTTTTGTTTTCTTTTGTTTGTTCATTTTTGCTTTTTGATGAATAGTTTGTTTTTCATTCAATTTTTGTATAGCTTGTGGTGGCTTTCTGGTGACTAATCGTCTTATTAATTTTGTAATCTTTTATATAAAGTTGTGGGATTTGATTTTGATATATGTTTTTGGTATGTGAGATTGGTAGATCCTTCGGAAGACGGTTCATTAATGCGTTTATATCCAGCTGCTTCCTCAAGCAACAGGATTAGAGCATAGCTATATATTCTTTTACAAAAAAAAAAAATGAGAAAAAGAGAAAAAAGAAAAGGGATTATATATATATAATCCATATTTACTTATGAATATATGTACACATATTTCTTTTGTTTGTTATGTATATACATATTTCAGTACTCTTCTTTTTTTTTTTTTTTGTTAAATATACTTTTCCTTCTCCTTCTTCTTCTTCTGCCATTTTTCATGTTTTCATTTTTCTTCACCTTTTTCTTCTCTGATATTTGTTTTTTTTTTTTTTTTTTTTTTTTTTTTTTTTTTTTTTTTTACTGTTTTTGTTTAAGAAGAACAAATAGATAAGACAAAACAAAAGAAGGGTTGTTTGACTGATGTTGTATGAGAAAATCCTAGTAGACCTAAATCTCTGTAACAGTTGGTAATTGTAGGAGAGAGATCATATGTCGATGTTTCATGAGTAGGGTTATGAGCTTTAGAGTGGTACTTTTCGTCAAATGACAACATGTATAAAAGTGTATGTTCCTCAGCTGTACTTTTTAATGGCTTTTTTTTTCGTTCTTCAAAAATATGCGATCTACTGTTTTTTAATGGGTTTTTAGTGGCCTTTTCTCCTTTTTTTTTTCCTTTTGTTTGTTCATTTTTTCTTTTTGATGAATAGTTTGTTTTTCATTCAATTTTTGTATAGCTTGTGGTGGCTTTCTGGTGACTAATCGTCTTATAAATGTTGTAATCTTTTATATAAAAACCGTGCTTATTAGCAAAATTTTGAAGTATAATATGGAAACATTAGATAATAAGGTATTTTAATATCACACTTTTTACATATTTAAAAGCTGCAAAAAAAAAATTAAGATTCAAATATGTTATCTTCTATATTATATATATATTTATATATATATATATTGCTAAATAGTCCCTTGTGTATGCGATATAGATACACGCATATTTATATAAGTATTTGAAAATGAAGAACTTAGTTTTTTGTGAATAAAAACTTGGTTTTAAGTTCACTGTTTTATGAATTGAAAAAAAAAAATCTATCTCTAGTATCATATATTGATATTGATATATATGGCACTTCACTCAAAATTGAATTGGGTGTTTTAAAGTCAAATAAAATGAATTTACCTTAAAAATAAATTCTTTGGTATAGTATTGAAGTTTGCTGCTTTAATTATCTAAATAAAATTATCCTAACGATCACAAATATCATAAGGCTCCCCCTCCTTTGACTTAAGGGTAAATACTAAAATACCATGATCAGTAAATCAATATTATAAGTTGGAGATTCAAATTCTTGGCAATAATAAACTTTTGAAAAAAAAAAAAAACACATACATAAATATAATCAGTTTAATATTTTTGTTTTAGAAAATTTTCCAAACAAAGAAAAAACGGAATATATTTTTAAACAGGAAAAAAATTATATGTGCATTGCTTGGATGATTAGCATTTGGAGCTCTTTTAATGATGATTAATTATGTATTTTATACATATATTTAGCCAAAAAATTGGCTGAGTTGGATAACATTGGAATTTATGGAAGCATAATAATTATTTAGCTAGACTTTAAGGCTTTTTTTTTAAAAAAAAAATTTGAAATGTGCTAAAACTTTTTGTTGAGTTTTATATTGAAGAGTTTACCAAACTGCTATGAACATATTATTTCTGTGGTCAGCTTGTTGTATACGTTAATGATATATGTTCTTATATATTCAATGTTATGTTTAGATGAGTAAAGTCAACTAGTTTATGAGTAAGCGTTTTCACTTTTAGGTGGATATACAATGTCTTGTCTTCCAATAATCATGCACAACATATCAAAAATTTGCACTTTGCCTGATTGACTTCGAATCTCTTACCCTTGGCAAAAATGTTTTGTGATCATTTAAATTAAATGTTCCACATTGCCAATGTTAGCAAAAAGTTACTCACAAGTGATCTATAGTACCTACAAGTGCTTGAGTCTTGAGGACGAGATTATAATACATATTCTTCAATTAGCTAGTTTTGAGGATCATAGTAAAACTTGGCTAATCCTTTTGAAGAATTGCTCGCAGAAGCAAAAGTGGTGACAGATGATGAAAGCAAATGTTAAGATATGCTTGTAAACAAGGGTAGAGTTCATAAATCTACCATACTCATTCTTTTCGCAGGTTCAAATAGAAAATTTGAATAAAAAAATTAAATTTTTATGAGAAAAGAACACCGTAGCAAAAATATTTGAATTGTGATTCAAAGTTAACAAGAGAACAGACACGGCATCTAATTAAAGGTATCAAGAAGTTTGTTGTTGTAGGTGATACTTTGCTGACTGATCCGCTTATGGTGTACCATAATGTGAAATAAATGGATCGTACAGTCCTTGTTATGGTACTATAAAGAGAGCATGTGAAGCTACATAGGATATTGAGTTGTCATAGATATGAGGATAGTTCTTTGTTAGCTAGTGTAGACTCGTTTATTTTATCTGCTTTCGTGTAGGACTGGAGCCACTCTTTTGAAGAATTACTAATATATATTAGAACATTAGTTCTCTAGAGTACTTGAGAACATTTAGCTAGGTTATGTATGCGGCTGATTAATTAGTTGTAACCTTCGAATTAATTAAACAGAAAATTGTGATTAGTCCTTAATTTGGTGCTTTTGTGATCTTAAGCTCAGTTTATAAATTCAATTGCTGAAGTTTGATTTCAAGGACAAAATTACCAAATTGCGATGCTGTTGATCAACTTATCTTCTATAAATTCTGGAACGCCTCATAGATTGTACTCCGAGATCCTATATTCTTGTTGCAAGGCTTTCTTTTCTGTGGTCTTTTCTTTTTTAACTTTATTTTGCATATATGTATATACATATACATACATGTGTATATATATATATATATATATTTACATATCTGTGTGTGTATATGTATGAATGTGTATATTAAGAAAACGACATGACTCTTGGACTATGCTAATTTCTTTTTGTAGTATGCTATGAGAATGAGACTATTAAATATGCTCCTTTTGAGCTTAAAAGCTAATTAATGTTTCCTCTCTCTAAAGATTTGTAAGCAATCTTGTCGTTTTTATTAACTTTTTGGATCTTACGATTAATACATGAAAGCATGGAGAAGATACTGGAGCGCTACGAGCGATACTCTTATGCAGAGAGACAATTAGTCACAATGGATTCTGAATCCCATTTTCAGGTTTCTCTACATTAACTTAATTGTCATTGTGTCATAATTATTATAAGTGTACTTTCATTAACAATATTTTAGACTATAGTTTCTCGATCATTTGCCTCAGAGATCACGCAAATCGTGTTATTAATTTTGTCTCATAAAATCATAACTACAGTCATTAAAATGGTTGCCATATGTTCTCTTTCTCTCTTGTTAATTATTGTACACTCTTCTTCGATGAAGATCATAATATCGTATATCTCGTTTAAAAGAAAACCGGCACTTTATCATTTCTTCTTATTCTAATCTTCACCATTCCTTAATATTTCTCATCCTTTTTCTGGTAGGCTTTGTTTGTAAGAGAAAAGGGAACAAACTTGTATAACCTAAGTGAGGAAAATAGAAGGAAAGAGATTAGTACTTTTTATTATCATGTTTGGTGAATTTCCTACTCTAATGTGTACATATCACGAGAGATTAAAATTAGGCTTATCTGGAGGATTTGAAACCATCATCTAACCAATTCTCTCGTTTTCTCTTGTACCAAACAGCCGTGAGTTTCAAAATTCTTCCTCTAATCCCCTCACTCCTCTTTTCCCTCAACTTTTTACTTCCACCAAACAAGCTCTTATATATTGAAGAATACTTTTGACTTTGTCTTATACATCTACTTCAGATATTTTCATTGTGATCAAATCGTTTTGGCGCCACATTTATATCTCCATTGGGAATGTAATGAGAGTCATAGTATCAAATATTCATTATTGATCTTCAAGCCATATTCTGATTAAGAAACGAACTACGTGAATTTAAATAAAAACTTTAACAATATGAAAATAGTGTATTTGTCTTTACTATTATTAGTTATTGATAACATATATACTCTTTTTAAACACACATATATATGTATGTATGTATGGATGCATTATTGTTTCCGCTTTGTGGCCTAAGTCACCTTGAAAATAGCTAATTAGCTACAGCTCTCCTCACTTCTAGCTTTTCCAGAAATATTTCTTCTCTCTTATTAGTATTTTTTTTTTTTTGCTTTTTCCTGAATGGCCACATCAGTACCATGTTGAGAATTCTGCGCATTAATTTGAAATGTCATAGATTATGCAGGGGAACTGGACCGTGGAGTATTCTAGACTCACGGCTAAAATTGAGCTTTTGCAGAGAAACCGTAGGTATTAGCTTTGTTCACAACTTTTCTTTGTTTCCAAATATTACTCCCCACATACCTTCGAAAGAAAAAAAAAAAAAGCTCTCCACATTCTTTGTATATTGTAATTTAACAAATTTGGATGTGAAATTATGTAACTACTTTCCAATACAATTACAAGTAAATAATATTTTTTAATTACTTTTTAACATTCATTTATTCTTGATCACGCGTGTTTGTGTATTTTACCAACGTGTATATTTTTTGTTACTAATTGGACTCCTACAGTCACTTTTTGGGAGAAAATCTGGAGTCTCTGAGCCAAAAAGACATCCAAAATTTGGAGCAACAGCTTGATACCGCTCTTAAAAATATACGTGCCAGAAAGGTACATTCTTATCTAAACATGATCCAATATAAAGCACACCGTACACGATCAGTATTTTTTTACGTACTTTAGATTAGATACATTACTTACACTGAAACCATTTTCACGTTGCAGAACCAACTCATGAACGAGACTATCTCTGAGCTTCAAAAGAAGGTAATTATTTAGCGTCAGTTTAATTGTTGATGATCATAAGGTTTTTATTTGGCTTCCTTTTCTGCACATCTCAAAATTGTGATCCACCGTTGAGTAAGTGTTTTTACTGTTAGATTAATATTTTTAACAGTTAGATTTACATTAGGAGCAGTTCTGTGTGACGCGTTATTAAATTTTAATATGAATCTGTACAGATCTGACCGTTAAAAATTTAATCTAACAGTTAAAAACACTTGTTCCATCGGTAGATCACAAATAGAGGATACACTGTAAAGTTTCTCTTTTTTATTTTAATTAAATAAACAATGCAACTTGAGGAGATAACTAGCATCTCATTAGTAATCATATCCAGCTCTAAGATTTTGTTTGGAAAGAGAGACAATATATAAGAAAAGAAAGGATAGATGTCATCTAATTAATTTAGATGAAGAAAAATGAAGGGTATGCACAAACTTTTATGTTATTATATTTGATGTGAATTCCTAACTCTAATCACTCCGTATTTGATATGGAATCACTCTTCTACCCTTCTAATCAAGTTTACTAAAGTTTAAAAGAAAATGTAAATCCCTAAGCAAATGCAAAAAAGAAATAAAAAAAACAACATAAAAAGTGACTAAGGAAAGACTTTGTGAAGAAGATTGAACTACTCATTTAGGGGCCCATTCATTTTACGGGTTCAAATTGAGAATTTGAGTTAAAAAATGAATTTATATAAGAAAAATATTATAACACAAAAGGTTAAATTTAAATTTTTTTATAAGAGAAAATAATACAATAAAAAGTTTGAGTTTTGATCTGAAGCAAAATCTGTTTTTATTCCGCATACTTTTTCTCGTTGATTTTGTTTTTCTAGTGCAAGATATATTTTTTTCATTTGATTCTTCTGTTGATATCTAATTGATTTGATTGCAATAACTGAAAATAAGAGATATATGGAGATTTGAAGTAAACGGATTAATATATTAAGAGATGCCTCACTAGTACTGATTATGGTATGATCATTATTTGTTTCTCAAGAATATTTATTTTCGAGGAAAAAAAAAGGGGAAAAGAGCTGTTCCCGGAACTGAAAAAGGAAAAAAAAATCATATCCATGTGAAATAAAGGAGTTTGTTGTAGACTGGTAGTACCTGACATAAGTAAGACCAAGAAGGAATATTTCTGAGCATATGATGATGAACTTCTGAAACATTCGCCTTTCATATTGTTAGGAATAAATTGTTTGGGGAGAAAAAAACAAATTTGCACTCAAAATTTTGCTCAGGCACTGCCACCGCCGAAGCGAGTTATAATTCTCAGTTTTCTGTTTGTAATATGACAGGAGAAGGCAATGCGGGAGCAGAACAATGTGCTTGAAAAGAAGGTGACCTCATTGTCATACGTACTCATATATATATATATATATATCGAACATAAATATGATATTTATTATTTATTTATCAGCACAAAAATCTACTTCTGTCTATGTTAAAGTAAAAAATTTAGAGCTGTCTTGTGGGAAAACAATGTCGTCAGATCATGACAACCAAGATTAATTCTATTAGTGCTGATTGTTTAGGACACTTTAAATAGACAACCACATACAAGTTAGTAGAGACTTTGTGTCAGTTTAGTTCATAAATTTGTAGAGAAATTTTTTTTTTTATCAGAAAAAAAATTGTACCAAAAGCCCCATTTGACGGTCATCAAATAGTATTTTGTGAATGTGTTGCATATGAGATTATGTTAATTATTTTATTTAATAAAACTGAAATTTTTTTTAGGTAGATGACTTAAAATGCAAACTTAGCTGATAATATTTCTTGCGTGTATGATTTAAAAAAAAAAAAAAAAAAAAAGATCAAGGAAAAGGAGAAAAGTGTGGCAGTAGAGGCGCAGCAGATGCAGTGGGAGCAGCAACACCATGGCGCTAGTACATCATCCTACCTGCTACCACAGCCACTTCCCTGCTTAAACATTGGGTAAGTAATATTGTATTAATCCTCAGATTTATGATCCTTTTTTTCATGGTTTAAATATTATTCCCAAATGGCCAATTGAAAGTTGAATATTTCAAGTGAAAAAAATATAAAATCGACTCCATAAAATGTCAAGATTGTCCTTTTGACATCTAGTTTTGTTTCGGAACTTTTGGTTTTTGTACATATAGGTAGATATTAGCAAGAGAAAACAAAGAGATTCTAAAGATACTGCTTTATTTAAAAGAAATAAAGAAAAATGCAAAAGAGGTCTACAAAGAAGACAAAAACAAAAACTAAAAAAACTTACAAACTGAACATAATGGAAAAAGAAATATGGACTAGTTGAAACTTTATTTTAATATATTTTTCAGCAGTGAATTTGATGGAGGAATTTCCTGCTAGTGGGTGCCAACCTTATTGGGATATTTTAACTAGCTGTCTTTAATATCAATTATTCCCTTTCTATGATTTATTAAAACAAATAAAAAAAGGAAATATTAAAATTGTTTGAAATTTTTGGGGTAAAATAGTAATTCTTCTGCATAAATTAGATGGAAACTTTTGGGGAAAACAATTCTATTCAAGAAAACAAATGACATGTCAGACAAAAATAGATAGAATTAATTTATGGCTGTGGCTCAAAGAAAACCAGTAATGGAGTAGCCATTGATTCTTGATATACTAATGAAAATATTTATGACGTTTACAGTACTAATTGGCTTTTGGTCTCTATTAAGTTTTATCATTGAAAGTACGTGCACTACATGCTTGTGTTAAATCTGACGACATTTAAAAAGGCTGTTGATTGGTATATTTGGCTAGAATGTATTTCTCATACATGTCATGGCATGTGTGCAGTAGTATTTTTTTTTATTTTTTATTTTTTTGTTTGTGTTATAATTATCTCCATAATGCTTCTCCACAATGGTCCTTAAAACAATCAAATAGCATATATTTGAGGATTTGTTTGAATTGGTTAGCACTTGAGTACATATATAGCAATAATATGTGTAACAAATCTTTGGTATCTTATTAAATTGCAAAATTAAAATTTTCAATGTGCAGAGGAACTTATAACGGAGAGGAAGCCCCAGAAATGCGGAGGAACGATCTGGAACTCACTCTTGAACCGTTGTATTCATGCCACCTTGGATGCTTTGCTGCATGAAATATGAAAGGAGGACTATACATATCTATCTCTTTCTAGGTGGGTGTAAAGTTTTGGGTTTCATTTTGTGGAGCATTTGAACTTGTGATCTGTGCAAGACCCTCTATAATTATTATAGCATGTGATAAAACTATATATATATATATATATATATATATATCTATGAAGTGTCATGGCATGAGAGATATATTTCTCATGTTCCCATTATTACCCTGAATGTTGGAATGTTGATAGTCAGATTAAACTAATTAATCAGCGATCATGAACTTATTATGTATGAATTATATATGTGGTGTGATTTTTGAAATAGATGTTGTATAAATATAAATTATGGCGATGTTTGGAATTGATCCTGTTTTTATTTTTTATATTTTTTTGAGAACGAAAAAATGAACAATAAAGACAAAAAACAGAAATGAAAATGATTTTTTGGTTTAGTGTAAAATGAGAAAGAAATGAAAAATGATTTTTAATCGTTATTCATTTTTGTTTTCATTTTCTCCTCTCTAGAGCAGAGAAAGAGAGAGAAAAAGAGACATTAATGAGTTTTTTATACTGAAAATAATCTCTTGATAAAACTACCAAACGCATTTTTAAAAATGATTTATGTCTGAGATTGAAAATATTTTTATTTTTATTTTTGTACAAAAAATAAAATCATTTTGAAACGAGTTCTAAATGCATCTTATATTTTTTTTCTCTCTCTCTCCCTATCATTCATGTGAATCCATATTATATATTTCCAAACTAAGTGATCTAATAGTATAGTCTTTCATGACATGACAATTATTGACAAATGCCATGCACATCGTCTTTCCGTTGACATATCCATTTCTAATGTTTGAACAAGTTCCAATATACCTTGAGATTATCTCAACATCTTTGTCGTTTATGGGTAGATCCTTAGGCTGAATATGTAGTCATTCTTTCACTATAGATGTCATCATATGGCCCTAACTTGGATGTAATTATAGTTCTCACCAATCTTTAGTACTGGTCTAGGAGAGGAAGAGAGATGAGAACAAGAAAATCTCAAAAATAATATTCGTGATCTGTTCATCATCTTTATTAAGGTTAAGTGCTATAAAATCATATAGGCCTGTACTGAGCTATAGCTCAAGTAATGGTGCATACACACACACACACATATATATATATATATAGATATACTGGTCATGTAAAGCACTTAAACAGTGTAGTGATGTGCTGTTTCTCACAGCTCTTGATTAGTTCTTGAAAATACGTAGTAAAAAGAGACATTTCAACGAAGCAGTCGTAGTATTATGCATATATAGGGCATAGCTTTTTTTTTTTTTTTTAATATATGTAAGATTTTTCTTTACTCATTTAGGTATCTAAACCTAGACAGCAATATTTCTTCATGGTTTGCGTACGACGTCAAAGCCTTATTAGTACTTTTCCTTTCCAAGAAATTGGCAATTGTTTTGTTTACTAGCTATATCTACTACTACTTGTAGTAGTCTTGTTTTTTAGTTCCTATACCATAACCCTGGCCTCTTCAAAGAGACAAGACACTCTGAGTTTGTGTATTGTGACCCTATATACTAGTTTCCACTTTTGCATGTTTGTCATTCTTTTGTCGTTTTTTGCGCGTGGTTGCAACCAGTTGGATATGGTAGTATTGTCGAGTTATGTCAATATATATATATATATATATATGTCAAGTAGTACTTGTGTCATCACTTTCACTTTCGGCAACAAATTAATTTCTACCAAGAAAAGAAAGGAAAACAAACGATCCGTTGTGACGAGGCATAATTGCAGATGTAGAACATTCGGAGGCCTATTTCAAATTAATCCACATTATTGGTGATATCATTCCACAATCCGAGTCTTACTTAATTAGTTTCTCTATTGGAAAAATGGCTACTTAACTTAAGTTTTTTTTTTTCCTTCTTTTTTGAATTTGGGGTTGGGGAATTTCGGCACTCCACCTTAAGTGTGTGTGCACGTGCGCGCATGTGCTTGTGCGTGTGCGTATTACAGCTCTTTTTTGTTAGAGTAAAAGTAGTTATGGATACTCCAAAACACAAAGGAGACAAGTAAGTTATAAGTATTAAATTGATATGAAGTCTCTTATAATACTCTTAGAGATATTTTGAGTATTTATAAATATGGTTGCGAGCATTTTTTAAGGCCACGCACCTATTTTGTTTGTGATTTGAAAACGAATTTTTAAATATCAAAAACTTTTACAAAGAAAATAGGATTAGTTTTATTTAACTTTCAAAAATATGTTGTTGAATCACATTATCTCAAAAAAATTCACAACAAAATTTATCATTGGCTAAACTACTGTTAGTTGGTCTTTTATATAAAATCGGTTTATTGTTGTCAATTAAAAGAATTTTAACAACATATGGAATATATATATATATATATATATGAGTAAGGTCTTGAAAGAGTTTCTACCAAACCTATATTTTCACTCGTAAATCCAGTGGTTCCAAATTTCAGATCTCTAGTACAAATTAAAGAGGGCCTTATCTAGCTTTCATAAGGATATCTATAAGAGATGTTAAAGGTTAATCCACAGAGAATTGAGTCATTTTACTATAAGTTCTCTCAAAAGAATGAACAAATCTTCCGCTAGACTTTTCTTTATTATCATATGACTCGTATGCAAATCCATGAAGTTCTATTTTATATGAAGTTCTATTTCTTATCAATTAAAAGGGACACTAATCATAAAAGAGGGGAAAAAAAATCACGTTTCCCTAAAATTTGCAAATGGTGATTATGCCAATATCGTGAAATTTAAACGTCAGTGAATGAGTAATAAACAAAATGAAGAGGAAAAGAACTTATAATTTTGAAGGGAAAATGAACACGTATACAAGAATATGCAAAAAAAAATGTAATTGTAATGTCCTTCAAATTAGTTCTTTCTTAACCGTCATCGCATTTGCGCATCAAGTGATTCCTCAAACTCCATAACCTAGAAAATCAGTCGCATAAAACAATTAAATTGCAATGTAAAGGCTACTCAATTAATATTCAAATAACAATAATTGAAAAAATATCCCACTATTATCTTGTGTTTCTTCTTTAGTAAACGCTTAAACTTTTAAATTGAGAAGATAATAATAATTGGTTTTAATCTGATTGGTGACCCGTCTTGGAAGCTAACGTGTTGGATTGAACTGTAAGTTTTATTTAAGTTGATCAAGTCTCATAAGAATCTTTGGATTTTTTTTTCCACTAATAAGATTATAATAAACAAAGAAAGAAGGAAAAGTAATTAAATTAAGCAATACCCGGTCACAAATTGGGCAAAAATTGCTTCTCTCCATCCATTCATATATACAAGCAAGATGGTAATTGTGGGAACACTTCATTGGTATCTTTGGATTTTCGGTTGTGTATTCTGTGAATACAAAAATAAAAATAATGTGAATAGATTAAACTCATTTTTATATGATGAATCTGAATGATCAATCAAAATTTATTTGAAATAAAAAATAGATGTATATATAATTTACCTTCAAGACAAACGGGGCATTCTTCTACTTCTAATATATTCTTAGCAACTTTAGTTTTTGCTTCTTCAGTCAGCAAACATGCTAGTACTCTAGATGGCACATGTTGTGTCTCATTGTTTCTAAACAAGGTTGCAAACTGCAGATAACAAACGCAAGTTAATATTAATAAGCCCTAAGATATTTGGAAGCTAATTACCATAAATCAGAGTTACAAAATCCATTTTAATTTTACCACAGGTGGTGGTGGACATAACGGCCAAGTAGCATAAATCAAGGTTGCTTTACAGCTATTGGTATTAAGTAGCATGTATGCAAAGTAAATTAAAGAAAAAATATGGATGCAAAAGTGCAATATTAGAGCTTCTCCAATGCAATGCTATAGTTGATGTGTTAAATTATTAATGGTAAATTTGGTATTTGCGTGTAAAAATGCTCTTTAATGCAGTGCTATTTGTTGTGTTAAATTTGTCATATGCTAAACTTAGTGGCAAATTTACCATCAAGTTTAGCATTTAGTAAATTTGGCATTTGATTGAGTTTAATTGGTTGATACATTTACTTTTCTTTTCACCATTACATCATTGTCACTTTCAAATTATTTTAATATTAAAAGTTTAATTTTACAATTTTAAAGGCTTAATAATTACAACAAAAGCTAGACATAGCATTTGAAAGAGCACGATGCATTGGAGAATAAAATAAAATAGCACATCAAGTATGCTATTTTTATACATTTTAGTGGCAAATATACTATTGGCATTGACATATACATTGGAAATGGTCTTATTACGTACCTTGGAGACCAAGTCTGTGAAGCCATTAGAAGAGCTGTGGTGTTGGTTGTTTGAATTGTTTATGTCATCTTCAAGTTCCTCCTGAACTTTGAAGCAACAACAAAAAGCATCCATAAAACAACTTGAATTTCTCCTCTGGAACAACAAGAATTATGCAATATTTTTAGCAAGGGGGTGTGAGATTTAACTCGCTAATTTATTTACTATAGTGAACTCTAGTTAAATCTGCCAGAGATTAACAACAGTGAGAAACAAAACATTTTTCCTTTCTCATCCAAAAAAATGAATAAAAAAATAAAAGATAAATAATAATCTAGAAAAAAAAAAATAAAAGAAGCATGTGGCACAACACATAAAACTATTTTAGAAAGGCATCCAATTTAAACTACAAATACTAGTATGTGCTGCCAATTGAATAAAATTTGTGTAGAGCTCATTGACATGGACGATGATGATTCGGATTGAATTAAGACAGAAAAAAAAAGAAAAAGAAAAACCCTATTTAATTTGTGGTTGCTAAAAACTTTCGTAATTCAGCATTATGGTACATAATAGATAATAGATTTTAGGTTACTGACTGCAACTCCAATAACAATATAAGAGGTACAAGTAAAATAATGGATTTTTTTTTTGGTAAATATAAAATAATCGAGATTAAAGACCCGTACATGAATTAGAATGAAAAGAGTGAGATCATATATATATATATATACACACACACACACAATATATATAGATATATATACACACACAGACACACAATAGTAGAGCAAAATAAATATGAAGAAGGTAAGGACTGATACCGTAAGTGATCAGAGAGCCAATCGGCAATTCAAAAAACAGGAAAGCAAAAACCTGGAGAAGAGAGAAAAAGGGTTGATATAGGAGAAAATTTTAGAATGCAACAAATAAAGAGCAAGTCAAAATAATTCTATTCGCAGTAGAATTAGAATATTTTGGAGCATAAAAAGGAAATGCTTAATATCACTTCAAAAAGCGATTTGGTGTATACGTTTGCTCTTTCTTTAATGTGGGTCACCGTTGATCAACATTTTTTTCGGGGGTTCACTTGAATAGTAGATTTGAGTAATTTCGGAAAAAAAAAATTCAAAATCAAAATCAAGTAGGCCAAACTACAACTTTTTTTAATCTTCTATTTTTTTCACTTCAACTTTCCTTTTATATATATATATATATATATGGCATTTTCTTGTTATATATGTACAGATATTATTCTATTTTATACAAAAGCACACGTGCAGATTATGTTTCTTGATTTGTTACAACTTTCCCAAATCCTAAACCTAACTTTTAGCGTTATATTAGCATTAACTTTTATGAAACAATTGTTATATTAAAAAGAAAAATTAAATGTACACGAAATTCTAAGAAAAAGCTTGCCATGTCTGACTTTGAATGTAGCCCATAATTTAGCTAGTTGCCCTTTTTTACTATAGAAGTAATTACACTACATGGCTGAAATTTAGCAAATTTTTTAGAATATTATAAATATAGCAAAAATAACATAATAATTATCATAATAATATCATATGTTGTGACAGTCATTATTTTGATGGCATTAAAATGATATAAAATTTTGCTATTCTTATAATATTTCAAAATTTTTGCTAATTTAAACTTTGCAATTAAAATTTTGCTGTATGTCCCTTTTTTATATTAAAAACGAGTCTTTACAAACCCATCTTCTCCCTTGGACTTGTTTGTAGCCTGACGAGATGGATCGAGGTGAGTTGTTTGGACTTGTTTGATTTCAAATCCCTCATGGGCCGAGACTCCCGGTCCAGTTTTACTGCTAAAAACAGAAGGGGAAATTTTATTAATACGCCAAGTTTTTATTAAGGCACCCAAAAAAATTATCTAGCTACGTCATTTCACTAAAAAATAAGCCATTATCATTTAATTAATAAAGATAAAATAAATTATTATAATAGTATTTAATTATTTAAAATGACAAAAATAATAGATATACATAAAATTATGATAAATCATATATTTTCTCTAAAAATATAGAGAAAATATCTAGTTTGTCATGTACATACCTATTATTTATGTCGTTAAAAATGATTGCGTGTCATTATGACTTTTTATTAATTAAAATTCTAATTATTTATTTTTAAATAGAGTGACATAAATAATATTTTCTACGTGTAATCGAGTTGTAACGATATAGAATTAGTTAAACAACTTTATGTTAGAGAAAATTGTAGAATTTATTCTTAATAATGCATGAGTTTAGATTTTTACTATTTATTATTGATTAATACTTTTTTATTAGTATAGTTATTTGACTAAAAATGTTATTAATCGAGAATAAGGGATAAAAAACCTGACCCGTACACTTCTAAAAGGTATTTGTCTCTTTTCTCTTTTATGTTATGGTTATGCTATGTTTATTTGAGTTATGGATGTTACAAACTTTGAGCTATGACAAATTATGAAGATTTCATGTTGTGTTTATTTTGTATGGATGTTTAATAATTTATAATTTTAAAGATCATAAATTCGTAATCCATGAATCCAATTCGTAGAATCTTGATAAGTTTTAAATTTGATTAGATCCAATACGAAAGATTTTGAATCGAAAACAGATTGAATTTTCTCAATCTAAAAGTTTTAGATTGGATTACAAATTAACTCTTAATCCGCAGTTTTCAATCCGTGAATATCCCTAATCTTAGGTAGTATTTATGGTTTTTTCCCTTATATCTAATGGGATCACACACTATCGAGTATGTTGAAATCGCTGAATCCCTGATCATCTAAAAATTTACGTTGTAAGGTACCTTACGCACGTATATTGAGAGAGAGAGGGAAAAAAAAAACCCCGTACGTGAAAGATGTATCGGCCAACCTGGAAAATACCATTCCAGCAAATAAATAAATGAATAAATAAAATGTAAAAAACAAAAAAAAGGACATGCTGGGCATGTTTCAGGTTTTCTTTTTCCCCCTTTTTTTTTTTTTTTTTTTTTTTTTTTTGGGAAGGGAAGGGGGTGTATATTGAGCCAACTTCCTTTGGAGTAGATGGGAACGGAAGTGGTCGTGTATATTGAGCCAACTTCCTTTGGAGTAGAAGTTGATGCGTGTTTTTATTATTTATTATTTATTTATTTGTTTTTTTGCTCGATAGAAGTTGATAAATGACATGTTATATATATGGTTTATATAAACATTTTTACCGTCATTATTTATGAGGCGCAGCAACAATTAACCCACGAGTAAACATTCCATGGACAAGAAAAAGTTAAATTTACAAATCATGATAAATAATGAATAATCATAAGGGGAGTAACCCAAAAGGGTAGGATATGAGGAAAAAAATGCCCAAATAAGAAGGAAAAATAAAAGTTTCTCTAACCTAGTTCAGTTAATTAATTGCCAAATTACAGCATGATAACAGCTTATGGCTATTATTTTGATTTGATAAAACTGACATGCAGAAACAACCTTGCTTTCTTTCTTCAAATCAATTACGATTTTTTTTTTTGGTTTAGCCAAAAAAAAAATAATAATCCATAAAAAAGAAAAGAAAAGAAAATTTAATTAATTGGGTTTTTTGCTTTTTAGGTTGGGGGTCAAACTGGAAGTTGACAAGTCCCTTTCTTGTTGCAAAGTGGTCCAGCAGCATATATGTAACCCCTCATTTATGTGAACTTTGAATTTGCATAAATTTAATTAATCGTTGTCACATAAAATTACCCTTGGTTTAATTTACTTTTATCTGACTTTACCCAACTGTTTAATCATGGTTTTTTTTCTTGGTATAAATGCTTGATTAACATTGAAGTTTCTTTTCTATCCAATTTGTAATTTATCATTCAGCAACATCGATGTTTTTTTCTTAAAAGGTCTTTAACCTTGGATTCCAATATTCTGGACTAGAATTAAAGTCACAAGCTGGGCTGCTGAGGGATGATGGAACAAGAAACCAAGGACTTTTTCCAAGTTTGTGATGATCAAAATATGGCTTAACATTGAAATTGAGATTTCCACCGTAGGTATGTATATATAAAAAAATAAAAAAAAAAGTTCTACTGACAGTGTTTTATTATTTGAACTGTCATATCTGTGTCATATTCTATTAATTTTACGTATTTTTTGTTTTAATGTGATTTTAATAAAATTTAACGTTTAAAAACATATACGAATCTGCCTTACCGAGGAAATCTCCAGTCGAAATAAGTAAATAAATTGCATAAAATTTGGCTTACGGAAAGGTCATAAGAACCATGCAGTGTAAAAAGGTTTAGATATAATAACATCATGGAGAAACCATTTACTACATGAGAGGCATAGATAGTTGACCGATTGAAATTTTTAATCGAGTACTTAAGACTTCAACCAAATCAATGTTGGAAAATCAGCAAGAGTGGTTAGGATTTCTTTGGAAGTAATGACTGATTTGGTGTCCACTAACATTCATAATCAAGGTTCACGTAATACTAGCTACTAACGTTTTTAGTTCAAGTAATTGAGTTTTTGTTTACCAATCATTTAGAAGTCTTCTTCTTCTTTTTTTTTTTTTTCCTTGTCAGATATGATTGAGTTTTATGTGTCAAAATTTTTAATTACTATCAGAATGATGACTAGAGGTTGCGTTTGAGCCAAGCTAATAAAAACAAATGCACAAAACAAACACTAACAATTAATATATAAAGTTTCAATCTTAAACTAATAATTATCCCTAAGATGGTTGCCAGCACATTACTGAGGATAGAAAATCTCAAAAAATTCTCAATCCTCACCTAACGTTGCAGGCCCTTTTGCTCTAATTCAAGTGACAGGGCTGGACGTTCTTGTACCTATATTTTTTCAATCAAACCACTAAAAGGGCAAAAAAAAAAAAAAAAAAAAAGCTAAAATCGCATTCTTTATCAATTTACATTATTTATTTTTATTTTTTTTTAGTTATTAAATTTTAGTTGTTGAAGGCGTGAACTAAGAAGAAGAAGAAAAAAATTGTTTAGTACATGATATATACATGGTCACATAATTGTCTTCTGTTATGCACCGAATTTGATTATTACATTCCTAAACAAAAATATGATTATGCAAATACAGTTATGTAATATTACAACTCACAAATGGCTCGT